CTTATGCTCCGCATAATACAAAAGGGATAGAGTATCTAAATGCTTTATGAAAACCATTGATTTGTATAAATTGCATAAGTTTTGATTCATTGAAAACCTTTATGTTTGGCTTGTATTCCCCCTGAAAACGTTTAAAAACCATAAAAGCGTAGGGGTATGAACTCACTATTTGACATGGGATTCCAATGTATGGTCGATAGGAATGCTGAGGGTCAAAAGAAGTCCCGAACACAAACGGATCCTATTTAACAGATAATAGCACATATATGTATTAGATTAGGGTATAACACCACTAATTAGGAATGGAAACGACCTTAGAGACTAGGAAATACTTGAAACTAAGTGTTAGAATCACATGTGATTGAAAGAGGGGAGTTTGCAGTAACACAAACGAATGTACGGTCATGGGTTTTTGGCCCAATGAGTTTACGGTTCAAGAGGTTTGCGGCCTATGGGTTTACGGCCCAATGGGTGTACGGCCAAGGAGTTTGCGGTCGTACACTCATGAAAAGGGTGCAATTTGAGGCGTTTTAAGGTCCTTTCTAGCCCCTTGGAAGTGTTGTAAGTCCCATACATAGCTTTAGGATGATTTTAAGGCCAATAATCGACCAAAAGCTAGGGTTTACGGCCAATAAGGGGTGTACGGCCGTACACGTGGGTTTACGGTCATAAACTCTCCATGATCACGTCTTTTGGGTCAATTTTAAGGCGAAAAATAAGCATTTCTAGTAAATAACAGGCATATGAAGCAGTTACTCACTATTAGGAAGCTTGAAATGGGGTTTTTAGCAACTAAGAACTAGTGTGTTCTTGGTGAGAGATGAAGATCTAGAAAAAGATGAGATTATGAGATAGGAGCATGGATTTAGCACTAGATCGAGGAATGAAACTCAATTCAAGGTGGAGAAACACTTACAATCTTGAAGATCTTGAAGAGAATTTGATGGATGTAGAGAGATAGTAGAGAGAGCCTTTGAAATGAGTAAAGTGGTAAACGAAGGCCAAGCACTCAATATATAAGAGGGAGTTTTCAGCCATGGGGGGGGGGGGTGTACGGCCGTAAACTCGAGTTTGCTGTCGTACACTCCTCTCGAAGGGTGTTTGGCCCGAATGTTATAATATAATTTAGAGAAACTCGATCTTGGACCCAACATTCATTGCACTAAGCTTAAAATATTCAGTTAGACCCAAAATAGTGCTAACAAGAGCAGAAATAAATCGGAACTGATTGATTTTTAAACGGTTCGTATAAAAAGAAGTTTTGGGTTGTCACAGGAATAGTAACTGCAGCGCTGTCGATTGAGAAGGGGAATGTGGATGCGGAAATGCAATTGTGATCCACTCTGAGTGTAAATAGTAGATTGTTTTTTGATTCCCCTAATGTTTGATGGAGAATGAAGGTAACATGTCAATAAGAGGATGTATTTCGATATAAGAGAATCCAGTTGTTGTTATTTTGATCTTTCTAACAATCCGGATTATTGTATAGCTTATATGCTTATTTGAAGAGAGGAAAAGAATGTAGGTGTAAGTATATTAACAGTTTGCGGGCTTACTTTTCTGGGCGTCGTCGGTTTATTTATATTCTGGCTTATATTTGTAGAATCCTTGTGTTTTATTTTTATTTTGTAGTTGACAATATTATACTCTAGTTTGATTTCTTGACAGACACAGGAGAAGAGAAGGAGACTGCAAAAAAAGAATTGTATACAAAAGAAGACATGGCATACCTTAGAATCAAGAAAAGGGAACACGTTTCACTGGGAAGCAGAAGATAGCTTGCAGGACTTAAAATATGTAATAAATTATATGGCAGAAAAACATGATCGGAAACCAAATTGAACGGGTAAACCCAATCTTGATTCCCGATTTGGATGTTTGGTGCTTCTCTTTGATCGCATAAGTACGTTATGGGTGAAAAAAATAGAGTCGGTTTGTTTCTAGAGAGAGAAAAAAGGGATGGATTCAGGTGGAAAAGAGATGATGACGATTTACGTATATCATCCTTTTCAAGATCGGTGGAATTATATTAAGAAAGTAAACAAAAATGATAAATAAAAAGAATGGGCTACCTAAATTTCAGCCCAAAAAGATAGAGAAAATATTGAGCGCATTATTATGGAGAAAACCCAAATGATGTGACATGTTTTAAAGAAAACCAAAGGTTTTCTTATATAGAATAGATAGATAGAATAGATTTAGTCTTATAACTTTTTTATAAGAAAACAGCTACAAAGGGTATTTGTAGCTTATACATACGTTTGTTCATGAACATGTTTAGCAATTCAAAATAAAATCAAGAACATGTTTAGCAATTCAAGATAAAATTAAGTGCTTTTTTTGTCGCCTCCTGTTTACCTTTCTTGTTATTTTAATGTTAATATTTAATTTCTATTATATTTTTCTTAAACATTTTGAAAAGATGAACTTTGCAATTAGATGTCAGTTTATAATTCAATTTTCTTTTTAATTTATTTACATTTTAAAAGGAAGAAATTTTTCAGGAATATAATTGTTTTTGGGGTCTTTCAATTTCGTATCTAAACATGAATGGAAAGACACACATGCACGTATACATATTGTTGTGTAGGAAAGCTAGAAAACAAATCAAAGGAAAAACCGATGCGAACGAGTCATGTTAACAAGGATGAATAACATTCGGATAAGAAGCCGAAATTAACAAAGTTTATTGCAGAAAAAAACGACCATAAACAACTTTACAAGGTTACATTGAACCATGAACTATCTAATTCGGTTGTATTTTTTGTTCGAAAAACTCTGGTCTTCTGTATTTGCAAGTTCGGAAACAATTATCCTAAAATCATTATAGATGAACTGTTCACGAATAACTTTGCATCATACTGAATGTTGGAAGTATATAACAATTAATATTAATTGCTATAGTGGAAACAGGTGACCAAAGTTTTTAAAAAAGGCATACCAAGATAATAGTTCACATATTTAGGGAGATTAAGTGGTTTTCCACATGATTGATAGGAAGATTTGATTGATAGTAAGAATCTTCCATCTATCAAAAATGGCTACTGCAACATCCTCTATAGCAAGTACAAAACTTAGCATCCTTAGATGTAACTGAGTGCAGACTGATTGACCTTTTGTGTTAATAAGTAGACAAAAGCTTTCATTGGCTTTTGAAGGATGTTGTTGTTGAACGAACTCCCAATTCCATCAGTCATGTGACGATACTTGTGTTTTTTTCCTGCAAAAGATGAAAATAAGAAATAAATTTCCAAATAGATTCTTTTAATATGAATAATTTCTGGCGTGTTGACCTTAGGAAGTCAAATGTAATTGCTCTAGATACCAAAGACAAAACAAAAGATTAATATATTAACAGGTTAATAGTTACAAGCAATGTAATTAAAGGTTTATGATTTTTAATCAGGTAATATGTTCCTTTTTATGTTGACTTTTGATATATAGCAAGGGAATTGAGGCCCAGATTTATAATAGTGCCTGTGATGTAAGGTATATACATTTTTTGCTTCACTGTACCTTTAAAGAGACTTTTATATGTATCGTTTAACCAGGATATAAAGTTGTAAGTGGTCATTTTAACCTTTTCAATAATTTATTTAACATACATAATATTGGTATGTTCCTGTTATTTACAACTGCATAAAAGGAAATTAAAGAAAATGGTAATCGTTGTAGTAACATGAATTGAATTGTACTTGATTATTATCTATATTTGAGTAGAAGATGCAGTAGAACAATCTTTTAAGAGAGTACTTCAACGGTGTACATATTCAGATTCATCATCGCTTGAGTACCTACAATTTAGAGATATAGCCAGAAGAGGAAATCACATAATTAGTAGATAATAGAAAGGAAAATTAGGATCATAATATTGAGAATGTACATTTGGTTGTGTTTCTCTTGTTTTAAGACTTCTTGGTAAACGATATTTTTCGTTTTTTTGGTATCAGGAGAAAAATAAGATTACTTGATAAGCACTTTCACGTTTTCCATTTTTCTGGCTCGAGATAAGGCTACATATAATTGTTCATGGCAGAAAACACATTCTTTTAAGTATATTCCAACAAAATCAAGAGTTTGACCTTGTGATTTGTTAATGGTCATTGCAAAACACAATCTGATTGGGAATTTCAATGGAATTATATATTCTTCATCAGTTGGAGGCAGTAAAGGGATTATGGGAATAAAAACTTCCTTTCCAGCAAAATCACTAGAAGCTATTTCTGCGGATATAACATTCTTATTGAATCCTTTGCAAAACAATATTGTACCATTACATAAACCTTTAGTAGGATTCATATTCCTCAACAAAATTATAGGTGCCTTCCTTTTTAGCAATAATTTATGTGGTGGCATACCATTAGGAGTTAAAGAATGCAAAAAATTTTCATATTGAGCTTGATCATTTGGATTGAGAGTTGATCAAAACTAATGTATTCAATCTCTTCTCCTAGAAACTTTGCTATGAAAACATTGTTTATCTCATCGACAAATATGTTTTTAGTAGTTAAGATAGCTCCATTCAAACCAGAAGGAATATTTCTTGAATCTCCATAGATGTTTGGATAAACATGTTTCATCAAAATATTTAATCTGTCCATCTCTGGATAGGTTTGAATGAGAATTGATGAAGGAATAGCCACAAGGTCATCATTTTTTTAACTTTCTATGCCATCTCCGATCCTTAAAAGAAAACAAGTGAAGACTGGATCAAGTAGTGCTCTCATGTTTTAGCTTAATAGCAGTTGGAACAATGATGACCAAATTGGAGAATTAGTAAGGCATGCAGCAATTGTTTGTGATTTATTTGCTTCTGGAATTACCGTAAGGGTTTGTCTACAGTCACCACCTAAAACAACTACTTTTCCAACAAAAATGGTGTTTGAATCCATAAAATCTTGAAGAAGATCATCCAAATCCTCTATGGCTACTCGTTTTATTATTGGAGCTTCATCCCATAGTATCAATTTAAAATCTTTTATCAAAGTTGCTAGTGCATATTATTTAATAATTATATAGGTTGTTCCTTCAGCCAAATCAAGTGGGATCTTCAAACGGGAATGAGCAATTCTTCCTGCAGGGAGTAATGATGCAACAATACTAGATGTTGCAGTAGCTAGAGCTATGTTCCCTTCTAATCTAATTTTAGCTAACAATGCTCTATACAAAAAAGTCTTTCCTATGCCTCCTGGTCGATCAATGAAAAATGCTCTACCTTCATTTGAATTTACTTTTTCAATAATTATATTGAACACATTCTTTTGTTCTGTGTTTAGTTTCAATATGGGAATCAAATCGTCATCAGACACAATGATGTTTTTTTCTAATGTAATTTCTCTTGCTTCATCTTCTAAATCATCAAGTGAAAAATTTGTAGGCAATACATCAAATTCATGTAGATGTCTATTCATTGACTATAGGAGCGCATTAATATGACAAAATGCATGTCCTCTTGCTTCTTTATGGGTATACTTATTGCATCTTAAGAGATCTTATAGCATGACATCTTCAAAACGTAACCAAAGCTTCTGTAGATTATTAGGACATGTATAAACCAAAAGTGTTGCGAAAAGTCTGCGAAGTTCATATGGCATGCATAAATTTGATGCTTCTTCTAAACATAATTGTTGAGCATTATCATCTACCAAATACCCACGCAACAATGCAGATTCTCGAAAGTGGAAAGTTCAACTCCATTATAAATCTTTAGGTCAGTAAAAGATTTAAACCAACAAACGTTCATCAACAATATCCTTAGATAATACCTTTCGCCATCGTTATGGTGAGCAATAACTATTCGGCCTACCAAGCTCCCTCCTTCCTAGGTAACCAGACCCTTTCGTTTGCTTTCCAAACAAAGTAATCTGGGAATTGAACATACGCCAAATTAAATTATTACGCTAATTTGTCGGTCTTGTTCTTCATAAAGAATTCAGTTAGCATATTTCTCATTTGAGCATGATTATTTATAATACTTCTCAATTTATCTTTCTTTTTGAAAGTCATTGGTTGATAATTTTTTATATGAAGGGGAAAATGAATAACAACTGGCTTGATCTCCCCTAATGAAAACCTGTATAACCTCCATGCTCCCTCGGGTGGAGAAACCCACCTTCCTGATTGAAACTGTTCAATTTCATTTACTTCTACACTCTTATCGTCAGAACAACCAGTGAAACTTATCTTATCACAACCTTTACATATGTACTTGTATACATACTTGACAACCTTTATTGTGGAACATTTTTCTATATTTATACGGCAGTCGAATTTACATAACAAGTATGGATTTTATGGGATAGCCTATCTGTTATCAAATACATCATTTCTAATTTCGTCTGTAGATCCATCATTTCGTCTTCTATATGTAGGGTATGCATCAGTAGTGATAGTTGTTCATTACAGAAAAGTTTTGGATACGAGTTTTTGCAAGCACTATTTTTCATACAAACATTTCGTTCGTTAAACTCTCCACACGGTCCATGAAACATATGCTTGACAACCATATTGAATAAGTGATTGTTAGAATTGGTATTTAGTATTTCAGCAAACACAAGCTCATCGTATTCCTCTTGTTTATACATCTTTGAGTGAGGATCACGTATGAGCAAAAAATGTGCATGGTGAAGACCTCTTTTTTGGAACTCTATGTCATAAGTGTATGCAACAACATCTCCAAATATCTTCTTCTTAAGGAGTTCGTGTCTAAGCTTTTCAAGTTTTGTATGCAAAACGCTATTGATTAAATCCAGCCTATATGTGTCTCCTCGTGGCTCATTAAGTGTTCCTTTATTTCTGGCCAGTTAGGATTACAAGTCGTTGTTAGAAAGATATCAGGTTTTTCAACTTTTTGTACAAGTGCCATGGCATCCATATACTTCCGTTTCATATTTCTTGGACCTCCAATGAAATCAGCAGGCAAAACCACTCGTTTACCAATGGTTAAAGCGTCTGTCTCACCACTTGCGATGACATCGACTACTCCTTGGAGAAATTCTTGTTGGAGCTCATGTTGTTTTGTTTTAGAAAAAACCAATCTTTGTCTTTCAAGCTTAACAAAATTATCGACTATGTATTGTTGTAATAATCTACCAAAATGTAATAAGCAAGACTTATCATCAGGACATATCTGTAATTTGTAAGCGTAATACTCTCTAACTGATACAAACTTTGGGTTATGAGAGTTCTTTCCCAATACTGCAAAAAGAAAAAAACATAATTTACAATTATGTTAAATACAACTAATGTATCTAAGGAAAATATACCTTACTACTTTCTTCCATGGCCAGCAAATCTTCTGAATTTACGAAACTATGTTGGGGAAATACCTCTTTTGTTCTTGTCAGCTTCACTCTTCTTAAGAATACCTTGATGCCAACCAAGCTCTCCAAATGGGAACATCAAAGGGTATTGTAAAGGGTCATAATAACCAAAGTAGTATTGAACGCTCTTAGATTCATTGTTATGCATTTTCACCTCAATACATCTAGTAACATAATCCCCATTATCTTCTCCATTTATCCAAATCGCTGCAACTTGTGAAACCTCTGGCTTGTTATATACTCGTTGATCCTGATCGGCGATTGTCTTAAGAATAATCTTATAATTATCCAAATCAGGAACATCTCTTAATGATCTAAAAAAATCAAGCATAAGGATTTTGATCAAGATATTTAATACATTTTCCAATCAAGTCTTCCGACAAACATGGATAAGTGGAAAGGTGAGTTTTTTATTTCATGCTCAGTATGGTGAAAGTACAACTGAAGACTTTTTGAGCTATTATTCTGAGGCATTATCTCATTGATGAAATGATATACTTGACCTTGTACCCTGAATGTGTAAATTCCTTTGTTTCTCTTAGCAAGAGCTTTGTCTACTTTAACACCAAAGGAAGTAAATGAAAATAGATTGTTGTATGATCTTACATATGTCCTAAACATTTTTGCTTCTTCCGAAGCTGAACATAAAAGATTGCGCATAACAACTGGTAGTTCATTATTCGACAAAACAATAGAACAATCTGAGCAACAGAAGTGATTTGTTTCTGAATAAAACTTTCCAGCAACACAATAGTAACAATTTGCAACATTAGGAAGCCTATCAGCAACGGAAGGAATAACCATTAGTAATTCTCTTCCATTTTTACATTTATGTTTTCCTTTTATATTCTTTGATGTTTCACCTAAACAACTGGAATGATTCTCAGTGCTATTATTCAACTGTATTAACCTAACGGATGATACTTCGCATAAACCACACATGCTCACATCTTGCTGCATGGATCTACTTCTTTTACCCGTCGATCTTAGAATCGCTCTTCTCCGATACTCTTTCTTATAAAATCTTGTAGCATCATCATTGTCTAGAGAAACAGTGACATCAGAATTTAAAATACGATGACCAACTTTTTTAGGCAGACATGTTTCAACACATTCTGTAACCTTTCTCTTTTATCCAAGCATTGAAAAATAGAAAAATATATTATTGTTACAAAAACAAGAGATTCAACACTATATTAGTCTTACAAAACCAATGGAAATTCTTCTCACAGTAATTGAAACCTACACATAAAATGCGGGAAAAGATTATACAGCAAAAAAACTTATCTTTTTTCCTTGAAGTACAGGATAAATTGACGTCATCCAATTTGTCAAAAAGAAAAAAACAGTTTACCTTTTTTCTTTCAAGTACAAGATAGATCGACTAAATTAGTTTCTCCATTTGTTTAGACGTCAATTCAGTTTGACAGATATGCATTTTTGATTAAAAAACATTAAAAAAAAATGAAAAAACACACTGTAAAATCAAATGGTGGGACGATTACGGTTAAAAGAAACAAACGGAATTGTTCTATACTCATCTCATATTGAGAAGACCGACAATAAGAAAAGCAACACAAATGTTAGATCGTTCGATTTTTTTTTTTGGCAAAACGATAGAATCAATTCTATTGTAGAGAGACGAAGAAGGAGTGTACGACAAATAGAGGAAGATTTAGAAAAAGACGAACATGAAATAAGAGGTCGTGTTAGATCGCCAACAAATACCAGAAGGATCCAGTTCGATTTCTTGACATAGACAAGAGAAGAAAAGGAGGTTGCAAAAAAAAATATTGTATACAAAGGATGACATGGCATTCCTTATAAGCAAGAAGAGAGAAGACGTTTCACTGGGAAGCAGAAGATAGCTTGCAGGACTTTAAGTCTGTAATAAATTATTTGGCAGGAAAACATGATCGGAAACCAAATTTAAGGTAAACCGAATCTTGATTCCTGATTTGGATGTTAGGTGCTTCTCTTTGATCGCATAAGTACGTAACGTGTGAAAGAAAAAAAAAATAGGTTCGGTTTGTTTTTAAAGAGAGAAAAAGGGGATGGATTTAGGTGGAAAAGAGATGATGATGATTTAGTATATCATCCTTTTCAAGTAGTATATCATCGTTTTCAAGATCGGTAGAATTATATTAAGAAAGTAAACAAAAATGATAAATAAATAGAGTGGGCTACCAAAATTTCAACCCAAAAAGAAAAAGAAAATGTTGAGCCCATAATAGAGAAAACCCAAATGACGTTGCATATTTTAAAGAAAACAAAAAGGTTTTCTTTTATATATATATATATATATATATATATATATATATATATATATATATATATATATATATATATATATATATATATAGGAGGGTTCAATTGAGAAAAACAAAGGTTGACTATGGGGAATCATTCTCAGCCAATAATTTATTTTTATCGCAAAAGCTTCCAACGTACCGGCGGAAATCGGAAAGAAATGCATATGTGTTTTTTAAGAAAACATGTTTCCTTAAACTATGATGAGCATTAACTTAATATATAAAAAAACATAGTTTTTTCGTTTTTTTTTTTAATTTTTAAGAAGCATTTTTTTATCGAAAAATGATTTTAAATATACCAAAATTCATGATTTTTTATTCTGTACAAATAGACATCGATATTGATATAGTTTTAAGATAAAATATTTTCTTTTTTTATATTTTCAGTTATCGTTATTAGTAAGTGAATAAAAATTAACCTGGTTTTTACTACACTATATTCATTATTCACTTATGAATAAAAACTATGATTAATTTTTAATTGTTTTTACAATTTAAATATCATTCATATATGAATATAACATATGCTAAACATAGTATACTTATATTTAAATATTAGACAATGCATTCACTTTTAAATATTACATACTATATTTACTTGTAAATGTTAGATGGTATATTCACTAATGAATATTATATGATATTTTCATATGTGAATATCATATATTATTACATTGTATATCACATGACAATAATACATAGTATATTCACTTATGAATATTAGATCGTATCTTGACTTATGGATAATACTTGGTATATTAATATGTGTTTTCAGAAATATATATAATTTTTATATGTTATTCACATATGAATAAAATGCAGACTTGCATATTTGTTTTGTGTTTTAATAATCACATATTGATTTAGGTGAGAAAACATATTCATTTGTGAATATAACGTGGTAATTTAGTTTATGCATTTCATCAAATAGTTGGAGTGCATACAAGTTAACTTTTTTAAAAATGTGATAAATATGATACTTTGACTACTTAAATCTTACAAAATAGTAGCTTGGTAGAGAAATATATGAAAATTTCAAACAAAAAATGATTTGATCTTTTTCTAACCTTAATTTCGATGTTTTATTTGATGAACGATGTTGAAAGAATGATACGAATTGAATTTTTTGTTGATTATCGATGATGTTGTTTTAATGATGTTGGGAGTATAATTAATCGTAGATGTTGAAGATATGTTTGTATTTAAATAGAATTGAAGGTGGGATTGAAAGAGCAAAAACGAATGAATTTCAACTGTACGTATTTGTGATTAAATACTATTATATCATATTTACAAGTTTGCTACTGTGTCTTTTATATTTACAGGCTAATTTAAATGAGTAGCTGGGAATGATTTCCCCATTCTCAACTGAACCCATATATATATATATATATATATATATATATATATATATATATATATATATATATATATATATATATATATATATATATATAGGGAAAGGATCAAATGAGAACACCTAAAAGGTTGGGAACGCGAGAACAAGTATATTCATTTGTGACTCCATGTATTCATTTGTGGCGAAATGATAAATTTTTATACACAATCAATATGAATATGTTTTTTCTTTTCAATTGAAATTAAAGGTGTAAAAATTTATCATTCCTCCACAAATGAATACATGGAATCACAAAAGAATATACTTTGTTATCGCATTCTCAACCTTTTTAGTGTTCTCATTTGATCCTATTCCTATATATATATATATATATATATATATATATATATATATATATATATATATATATATATATATATATATATATATATATATATATATATATATATATATATATATATATATATATATAGGTTCAGGTTCATTTGAGACTATTCTAATTTTGTGAGACCGTGAGACCAAATCTAAAAATAATTTTAAAATGCAAAATAAATGAAAAAATCCAAAAATTCTTTTTTTAAATATTATTTTCGGAACTTGAATTAACTAAAAAAAATATAAAAAAATAAAAAAAAATTTCTTTTTTTTTTTTGAAAAATACGTGAAATATTCTAAATAGAATATTACACTGACATATTCTAAAAAATAATTTTAAAATGCAAAATAAATGGAAAAATCTAAAAATTCTTTTATTAAATATTATTTTCGGAACTTGAATTAACTAAAAAAAATAAAAAATAAAATCAAAAAAAAATTCTTTTTGTAAATATTATTTTCGGAACATGAATTAACTAAAAAAAATAAAAATAATAAAAATAAATAAAAAAAAAATAAGAAAATGCATCTCACGGTCTCACAAAATATAGGTGGTATCAAATAAACCTAACCCTATATATATATATATATATATATATATATATATATATATATATATATATATATATATATATATATATATATATATATATATATATATATATATATAAACGTTTCTTTCTTTTAATAAATTTAGCTTTCTTAGATAAAAAATAAATCGATTTTTAATGTTTCGTTTAAGTTTTCTATATTTTTGTTTCAAAATTTAACTTCGGTCTTTTATATACTCACATTTCCAAAACTTCTAGTTAGTTTTTGTTTAAATTATTTTTAGTTATTAATTTTGTTAGTTTTTATTTTCTAGTTGGTTTTAATTTTTGTCTTGTATATTTATTTTGTTTTCATTTGGTTAATTAGTTTTCTTTTTATATAATAACTATATATATATATATATATATATATATATATATATATATATATATATATATATATATATATATATATATATATATATATATAGGTTCAGGTTCATTTGAGAGCATTCTAATTTTGTGAGACCGTGAGACCAAATCTAAAAATAATTTTAAAATGCAAAATAAATGGAAAAATCCAAAAATTCTTTTTTTAAATATTATTTTCGGAATTTGAATTAACTAAAAAAAATATAAAAAATAAATAAAAAAAATTCCGTTTTTTTTTGAAAAATACGTGAAATATTATAAATAGAATATTACACTGACATATTCTAAAAAATAATTTTAAAATGCAAAATAAATGGAAAAATCTAAAAATTCTTTTTTTAAATATTATTTTCGGAACATGAATTAACTAAAAAAAATAAAAAATAAAATAAAAAAAATTCTATTTTTTTTGAAAAATACGTGAAATATTCTAAATACAATATTACACTGTACATATTCTAAAAATAATTTTAAAATGCAAAATAAATGAAAAAATCAAAAAAAATCTTTTTTTAAATATTATTTTCGGAACATGAATTAACTAAAATAAAAAATAAAAAATAAAATAAAAAAAAATTCTATTTTTTTTGAAAAATACGTGAAATATTCTAAATAGAATATTACACTGTACATATTCTAAAAATAATTTTAAAATGCAAAATAAATGAAAAAATCAAAAAAAATCTTTTTTTAAATATTATTTTCGGAACATGAATTAACTAAAATAAAATAAAAAAAATAAAAAAAAAAAAGTAAAAAAATGAGTCTCACGGTCTCACAAAATATAGGTGGTTTCAAATGAACCTAACCCTATATATATATATATATATATATATATATATATATATATATATATATATATATATATATATATATATATATATATATATATATATATAAACAATCGTTTTTCCAATGTTAATTAGTTTTTGTTAAACTCTTATAGTTGATTTTTCTTACTTCGTTATCTTTTATTTTTTCATTTCAATAAGTTTTTTTTAGTTTGTAATTAATGTTCACTGAAGATAGAATTTTATTTTTTTTTAATTTTTATTTTTTTTGTATTTTTTTTTTAAGTTTTTCATTCATAGTTATTAAATTTATTTTTCTTTTAGTCTGTTTAATTTTACTTTTATATTTATTAAGTTTTGTAGTTATACATTAAATCTAAAATATAAAAACAAGGGTTGTGTATGTTTGTTTGGCAAAGGTTTTTAAGTGTATAATTTTTCTATGGCCTTGATAAAAATATTAGGAGGAGAATGCACATGGATATCGAAATGATGTCAACAATTCAATGTTGGGGCGCAAATTTAATTTTGTGTCTGATGTTCAAATTATCAATGAACATTCGAACTTATTTACCTCTTAAACTGTCTAACAGTTATATCTTTTTGTGTGTCCAAGTTTATAACGTCCGGGTTTCGTGGCTAAGTATATTTAAGTGATGTAATAATCTAGGTCAACTATCATAACTTTTTTTGAAGTAATAAAGATAAATTACTTGAGTATTATGTGAACCGTGTGTATTTATATGTTTATTACTTATTTATAAACTTATAATAAATAAATAATAAAAATAAGCGTCAAAATTAAAGTGTGAGATAAGCCCGATATCATTACATAAAGTTGTAGTAGTCGAAACAAATATTCTGGGGATATAAAGAACACCAAAATCCAAGTTATAACAAAGAAGTTATGACTCGTCGAAGTTTCGCGACGGAACCGGCACGACACTGAGAAGCGTAATTAGTGAATTTAAGATAGAGCGACTTTTAGCCTTAATTATCTAAATGAAATTCATAGAAT